TTCCCACAAACTTTAATGAGGAATAAACTTACATATTACAGATAGTAACAGATACAGTGCTATCTTCATTTTGTTTAATAATTACATAAATGTCATGATATTTTTATAATGAATGCATTTGATCAACACCTATTTAGATTCAGTTGAATGGATTCCATAATTTTTTCTGTTAATTTTGAATTTCATTCATCAATTTTGTCGTGCAAATTTACTTCCTGCCAATAAAATGTGCTGTCTTGTGTAAAGGATGTAAGGTATGCAGGTCAGCCACACACTAACTGGCATATTGACCCTGCAAGCTTACGTTTAAAATATAAATCCACTTTAACAAATGGCAAAGATCTCTATACAGAAGGTGTTGTATAAAACAAATAATGAATATTTAAATTAATTATTATATAGAATATTTCTATTCAGTGTGAAATAGAATGTTTCAATCACCTTTGTTATGACTCATTGAACTGAGAATTCCATTTTTCACTTCATTGATATATTGTATACCATTACACTCATAAACATTAATTGAGATTAGGGCTTCATGTTATGACTGAACAAAACAAATGGCTCACATAATATGGAGTGCAGTAAGTGAACAAAGACGTGACAGGGGAACGGGAAACAAGTGCAGGAAAACAAGAACACACAATTTGGAATATTTTAGCACTGAGGTACAACACTCTAACACCATTATTTTATTAATGAAATTGTAAACAATAGGGAAATTGGGGGGGGGGGGATTTTAAACAATAGGGAAAGGGGAGGGTTGTTGATTAACCCCTCTGGATCCAATTAGGTGCATGATATCAAAATGGGTGTACCTTATTAAGCAGAGCAAGAATTCCTTCATATCCCTGATGAAATGCAGCAATGAGAAAAAACAAATAATAGCAAATCTCATTACATAAATTGTTAATTACACTATAATAATAATATTAATGTGAGAAATAATATAATTAATTTAATTTATACAATTCCATCATCATTCATTCTTAGATCATAATGAACAAAAATGTAATTACCAAACTTATTTTTATTTCTATATACTTACCAATACACATTATTAATTTACTTGACTAAATACTTAACAGTCCAGAATGAAAAGTATCTGCAAAAATATGTTCTGACATGGTAGGATCACCACAACTACCATCATCCCCAAAATAGTCCCATTTTATATCATGATTCATATAACATGTAAAAACAATACAGTGTTTTCCTTGCCACAGAAGAAGCAATGATTTGTTTGTAATAACCATTAAATAAGAAGAAAAAAGAAGATTATCGGAAAGTGATTAAATTGAATTGCATACTTATATCAAAAGTGGTAATGAAGCCATGTTAGTCTAACTGCCTTTTAATTCTCTTTGTATACTTATGTCACTAACACTGATTTCATCTGTCAGTAATATAATCATCAAAGCCTCTTTGCAAAACAATACTTTTTTTCTAAACAGACTTTAAATCAGATGTCTCTTTACAAAATATACTGGTATACAAGATGACCTGCCTCGCACTAACTAATAGGAATAAGATAAAATTTTAAAAATAAAAAAAAATATATATATGTTGTATAAATTGAGCTATACACTTATAAACTAAAATGCATTATAATCGATAAATTATTTTAAAATCATCCTGTGTACCGTATGAAACAATTTCATAAAAAGATCATGATTTATTAAACAGGGTTTCGTTTGTTTAATTTTCTATCTTGGGAATGTTGTATTGCTTAGTCATTCTCAGTCCGTATTGGTGAACGGGTGCCGGCAGGAGAAAGTGGTTCAACCTGTGATCAGCCCCCTTTAACTTGCAAAAGTAGTTTGGCTTAAAGTTAATTGTATTCGCTGATCATCCAACCAAGGCAGTGCCAGTGTGGAACAAGCATCTTTGTATGAAATAGAAGAAATATTTTTACCAACTGATCTACGTTGAATGGATTCCAGTTGAGAGGACAGACGTTGGGTTACACCCGTGCCAAAAAAACCGTAGCCTTGTGCTCCAACACAGGGCGGACAAATGAGGTGTAAAATCTAAGCAAGGTAGGAGCATCCAGACCTGATTTTTGGAGTTGCTTCAACAAATAAGTGCAAATTACACCACTTTAACAGCTTTCACCTGGTCATACCATTTAACATTATTTGAAATAATAACCCAAGAAAATTGGTGTTCTTGGTTATTTCAACAACCCAATCCTCATTAGAAATAAGCAGATGGTCAGGTTTATTAATTTTATAATATTTTTCATTTTCTTTTCATTTATATGCATTTTATTCTCCACTGAATATTTACTAATGATATCGGTAGCTAGTTGCATTTCATTGTTATGACCTTTAGGTTAAAGTGCTTCAAATAATGCTGTGTCATCCATATAGCTTTTTGATAAAAATGATGAAATGGATCAGTTAGGCAGGTCATGGCTCTGATAAAATCTGATGTGAGAGTGCATTTATCTGGCAACTATCATTCCTACTGACCTTTGCACTATGCCCTGCCCCTTGGATATTGTTGCTATGGTCCCTCAAGACAACAGTGTTTAAATTTACACTTGGGGGACAACACATGTGCTTATTAGACTATTCTGATTGGACAGTTGTTAAGTTTCATTGACACTCCAGAAAGGCAAATGGTGTGAGCATGCACCAACTTCCCTCTAGTATCTAAACCCAGACACTCACAGTGCCTGGCAGTCATCGGCAGGCGCAATTCTATGTAGGATGCAATGCAACAACGCGCACGCAACAGATTTTTTTTAATGACGATCCGTTCAGACAGTCGCTGACAATTAGCAGACAGCATCTAGTTGTCTGGCACTCATGTGGAGCGGAGTTAGATTCATCGTATCACGGTCTTACGACCGTCGTACGAGGCAGTGAGTGCCCGGCTTCAGAGTATTGACATGGGAGAGCTGACGAGAGACGGCAAAGTTTAAATTTGGGGTTTCGAGCATCGTTTCAAGTGAGAAAGAGCTGGCTTGCAAAAAAACGTTAAATGAGATGAAAGTTTTAACTACTTGAGTTAATATTTTTGCTCAGTGACTTCCCAGTGGGGTTAGCGCAAGCTTTTTTTTCAGGGAAGGGGCTGTGATAACCACATTCTTCAGTAGAATCGCCATTCCTGATGGGGAGAATTAGTTGTTCTCAAAAAAGGTATCTACATGAAATGATGTTACATCTAAGATGAACTGCAAATTATCATCAAAATCTATTCTATTCTGTAAGTTAATTAAATGATGCCAGAACTAGGTAACATAATTTATGCTTGGTACAGCTAACCAGTGATATCTAAGCAGAGCTTAAATGAAAATTGGGCTGCTTTCAAAGCTATGTGTGGCAATACTTATACAATACAAACTTAATGGATGAAATTGCAAATTTTTGAAGCCAGCATAATTATTTTAAAGTGACATTTATTGATTGATTGCTGGTGTATGTTGCCAGCACTTATTATAAAGTGTAAAAGCGCACATGATAATATTTAATGTGAAAAAAAGTAGACGTATTACCACGTAGTTCTGCCACAAAATTGACAATGTCGTTCGTTTCCTGTTGTGAATAATGTATAAAAATGTCACATGGAATATTGTTGTATCCTACATGTTTATGGTGTAGGTTGTCAAACTAATAAAAATCATCATAAAATGCTTGATTCAGAAAAGTTGGAAGGAGCAAAAAGATTGAACTGAATGATATTAGAAGCAGAAAGGCTACATACAATGTTGCTTAGTGTCAACAAGTTTTAATATGGTAATGGTCCAGAATGGCTATATTGAATGTATGGTGCGAATGATAAGCTGTAAAAAGAGCAAAGAGAATGTACTAGATGATGTGATGGTGCAAGATGTACTAAATTGTGATGGTCTAGAGAGCCTATATGAATGCTGATGGAAGCACGGCTGTAAAGATTGGTGACAGTGGCAAAAATGATGTTGTGTAATGGTGACGGTAAAGAAAAAGCTGTGTCCAATTGTCGCAAAGACAAGCGAAACCATTCACTCATAATCACTAATTGTGTTTCAGAGATAATGGCCAAAATATGCTGGCATGTTTACATTTTTGAAATGTTTCATTGCACTCAGGGGCGGATGCAGAATTATTCAAACGGGGATCACAACATATTCAGAATAGAGTGAGAGTGCTATTTTCAATATATGCCTTCAAATTTTAAAATTTATTGGCAAAACGGGGCCCCGTGCCCCCTACTGAATCTACCCCTGGCACTACTTTATTATCTATACATCACACTATGTTGTTATTTCCCGCACTTTTTTAATGATTTGGTGATGGTATCTGCCTCAGAAATGGCTGAAGTCATAACTTTAAAGGCTGATTTCTCAAATAATGTTCTTTAAACAGCTTTGGATTGTCTTTGCCATTATTGTGATGGTATAGTCTAGAAGGCTATGTGCATTGAGACTTCGTATAATGCGACTTATAAGTCGAAGATTGGACTGCATTGGAGTGGATTATAGAAGGCTGCCGTGTGCAATGATGATGGTACCTAGAAGAGTTTGCATGGTAATAGTGCAGAGACGACTATGTACTATACAGGAATGGTGAAGAGAAGTATATGTCCGATGATGCAGACATGAATGTCTGCAATAGTCTGGTGCAGAGAAGCTGTGTGCAAAGAGGGTGATGGTACTGTACATAGAAGGCTTTGTGCAATAGTAATTGTGTAGGGAAGGATATGATGAGAAAGTGGTTGAATTGTGATGGTTTGTACAGTATAACATAGTGATGGTGCAGATGAGGCTGTGTAACCATATTGATAATGCAGAGAAGGTTCTGTGCAATGATGGTACACAGAAGGCTGTGTATACTGCAAAAAAGTGATGAAGGTTAAATACCAAGTTAATGGTGCAGAGACAAATGTGTGAAATAGTAATTTATACAATATACAAATAATAAATGTTTATGAATGCAATGGGAAGAATATTTTCATGAGTTGAAAAATTGACTGTTTCATTCAATGAGACGAAACAGTCAAGCTTTTAACCCATGAAAATATTGCACATTATAAAACATTCATTATTTGTTTTATAATGCACCTAAATAAAAATAGATCCTTGTCATTTGATATCTTATGAAAAAAAAGTTAGGTCTACCTTTTGTCTGAATGGAGCAGTCCATCTTCTTTCAATGAAAATATTATATTAAGTGGAGGTGTGCAAATAGAGCAAAAAATGATGGATGGAACTAAATTTTTATGAGTGACGAAATGGTGTAAATAACCAATGTCACGAGATATGAAATTCACCAATCAAATGACAAGGATCTATTTAGGTGTGTTACAAAGAAGTCTATACAATGGTGATGGTACATAGCGTTGAAGGGTATGTGTAATGGTGATGGTTTAAAGAGAGGATATTTATAGTGAATGTGCTGGTAATAACATTTAAAGAGAGAATTGTGTGAAAACAAGATAAGTTCAATGACTGTTAGCAAGACTGAAGAAAAGCTACAGAGTAAAGTTACAGTTTTTCATACGAGTGTCATTGCATAAATTATGGTTGTACACATAAGGAAACAAAGAAAAAAACGTGATAGGGAATCAGACAAGTTTGCTTAGAAATAATAGTAAACTTACCCGTAAATCAAGTATTCTTTCACTTAATATTTTCATGTCGATACTATGATGAACAATTTGCTGCTTCAAGTTCTCGATTTCCCTGACTTGTTCAACCTGTTGACGTTCGATGAAAGCAATATCTTTGGCTGTTGACTCACTTATTCTGAAATCAAAACAATACATGAACATCGTTAAAGAAAAAAGGAATAACAATCAAGGTATAAGAAAGGCATCTATGATAAACAATAAGGATACCAAAAAGACATTTATATTTAACCAGGGGGGTATGCATTCAGTGACTCTTACTGAAATTAAAAATTAACTATAAGTAAATCAAAAACAATGATAAGATAGCATACATTTTAAAAATAAACTAGATTTTATATTCCTTGATATGCTCACATTCAAAAATTGGTAAAGAGAAAACTGTAAAGATTAAATGCACATTTACAAAAGAATCATATAACTTAATATAGATGATACAGATTGAAAAGAAAATGTAAATTTTCTTTTTAAAACAATCCTCAGATTTTTAGATTTATACAAGATCATGTTGTTTCTATATATTTTACATTTTTATTTGTTTCTATTTTTATGTCCATTTTACATTGCTGCTTTTTGAAATATTTATATTTCAACTTGTAATTAATGGCCCCGTCACACCTTGATGATTTAGCCAGCGTATGCCGACATATCAAAATTTCTCTAAAACGCCGGTATACGCTGAACAATAAATTTTTCTTTTTAAATTTTGGGCGTATACATAGCATATCCATAACAAGTTGGATGTATACCTAACATATTAGTAACTTATATAGATGCCATTATAAGGTACAGTAGCTGTAACTTAGAAAAACGTTCAGTAAGTTCTGAAGTCATTCGGAACACATCAAATACGTCTACATACATCAATATACGTTGGAGATAAGTTTGATATAAGTTACACATAGTTTCGAAGCATATTACTCATAGGTTAGAAATAATTTTTGGGTACGCTAGACATTATCTTGACGTATTTTGACTTATGAGTAACTTACAAGTAACGTGTGTAAACGACGACGATCACATAACTTACCTACAACTTATGGCTCGCGTATGCAGGATGTATGAGCCATACGCTAGCATACATTGAAACATTTTGTACATGTGCAATTGAATTAAACATAAACAGTATATAGTGAGGAAACGATTCTCTTGCTTCCATTTTAAATTGTTCTAATATGTTAAGCGCCTCGAGGTTGTGTCACCGTGAGGCGCTATATAAATCCAGAATTATTATTATTATTATAACTTAATACAAAGAATAAAAAAATCAGCTTATATTTTAATGTTTTCACCTTTGGTACTCTGCATTCAGAGCTCTTGATGTCTTCTTTGTGTTCTTTATTACATCTCTGTATGTTGGTGCATGAGACTTGATGTATACTTAAGGAAATACTTCTGTTTATTAGTATTCATCTACCCTTAACAAATATATTATGATTATTTAATACAAAGACTATAAATTTATCAAAGTTTGTCATTATTATAGTGGTTATTGTCGTCATCATCATCCTTATCATCATTTAACATAAATAAAATATTCTGGAAAGGATATTGTATCCTTGAGATCTCAGTTCTTCTGACCTGCCTACCATGGTTTTCGTTAGATGTGAGTCCCTTTACGTACAGATAGTGGGCTACCAATGGACTGCGCCCTCCTATGTTGAACAGCACTCGTTCAAAATCAGGGCCAGGACCAGTTTTATGAGACTAGAAAACAGATAGCAGCAGTAACATTATGCATGAAGAAAAACAAATACAGGTTCATTAAATATAAACATGCTAAATCAACCAGAAAAAAATATCTCCATGGGTATGTAAATTCATTGAAGCTCATAAATAGAACTACACAACCAATTATTTTTAATTTAATAAACAATAACAAAAACCAAGAACATTAATGACGATATATATTGTATATCACCTTATTTATTCATCAAAAAATATAATAATCTGGTCAAGGCCCAAATTGCGTGTTATTTACACTTAAAAAAAAAATTAAAATATAAAAATCAATTCAAATGAATGGTATTACCATAAGACAATTAACGGTATATTGCAATTACCATTGCACCATTTTCAAAGAACGACTTAAGACCCACTTATTCTCGTCCCTTTAATTTATTTTTTTTCCCTACTTCCATGCCAGCTAGCTTTTATAGCCTTAACTAGGATAGGAGGCGCCCGAATCCGAGATGGCCGAGACTCAATATTTACCCTGTCTCTTATACACATCTAGATGTGTATAAGAGACAGCGATGAGGGCGTATCCCCATACTTCGGTTTGGGTGCTGGCATGGTATTCAAATTTCACTTCTTTTTATTTTGTGGTTTTGGTTTCCGTTCCATCTTTACACTTGCCTGATAGCGCTTAGAGACTTTTTGTATTTTGCGCTCTATAAATTAATAACCATTAACCATTAACCATCAATTAGACAATTAATAAGGAAATTTGTAGTCTTAACCGCACATGCCCGTATCAAAGGTCAATCAACATAAACCTACGTAGCGTGTATATTTGTTTACGTTGGTTGACATTGGTACCAGCATGCGCAGTTCAAACTACATACTGGCTTATTCATTAATTAGACTAGCATACCTCTCTAAGTGGCATGGCTGTGGGTAATCTGGTAGAGGGTACAGCTGCTGTGCCTATTGGTGGTATCTTGTTAGACTTGCCTGCCATCATTGTTGGCTCCCGTGATAATCCGGGGTCCAACTCAATGCCAGTTTCTTCCTCTTGTGCAATCTCAATTGAAAAGTCAGCTATAACAGATAATATATTAATTTCAAAATTGCTGTTTATCATAACAAATTTTAGACTCTAATAATAATAATAAAAATAGTAATAATAATACACAATTTATACATCAATAATAAAAAAAAAATAGCGGCAGCAGCGCATGGCAGCAGGGTACAGAACAGATTTATTTTATCCAAATAATCACCGATATTAGTGTTTGTGGTATAGCTGCTTAATATGAATAATTTTGTAAAAGTAATAATACAGTTATAAATAAAAGTGCTGTATGTGCCCAGCTTCCCATACTCAAAAATTTATTATTTTTGAAAAAAAGGAAATTAATGACAATGGAAAAATAGACAATGAAATTATTTCAATATTGCAATGCTGTACACTACAATATATACATATACTACAAATCCTACTGTAGCAGTGGAGTTGAATAGCTTAGTGGTTAGACGCTTGCATTCTAATTCCAGGGTTGTGGGTTCAATTCCTGTAACAAGAGTACTTTTTCTTAAGACCAAAAAATCCACATTCCTTTTTAATTCAATTCAAATAAACATTTATTTTCTTCATAGACAAAAAAAGTACAATGTAAACAATTCAATGGATGTAAAAATTCCAAGGCCTCAATAAGAGACTGGGATAATAAAGCATCATGCCATTTGCTAAGTGGCAAGTGTACTTGTTGCTAGATGTGAAGGAAATAAATAAATAAAAAATAATGTACCAAAGTCAACTTGCTATCTTACCATCATAGTTGATTTTGCCATCTTTGATAAGCACAACTTTTTTCTTGTCTTCTTCCTTCTCTTCATTGAGACCTTTAGGTCGGAGCTTTTTGATATCCCAGTGTTTCCAGGCAAGGGGTGGAGCTTTGACACCTAACGATAATACAATATTGGAATAATTAAAAAGAATAACCATATATCATTCAGTTGCCAATTAAATAAGGAAAATGACATACCTATAATGTGCAGTAAAAATATAATCCGCCGTAGAGGTGAAAATGCAAAGCCCATTCTTTAGATTTGTTGTTTACTGTCACTAAAAATAAACAGCTCGCTAACTGCGGCTAAAAATAGACAACACTGCGGTCCGTCCCTAAAGAGACTCGCCCAGTGGGCTGATCGGATTGTTAATTCACAGCTGCTAAAAAAAACTTTTTACATTATGCATTACAAGTGGGCAGTGTTCCTTGTGATAGGTGTGTTTGGTTGGATTGGTTGTTGTTGGGCAAAAACTAACCTACAACATCAAGAAAGAAAGTTTAGGCAAAGGCTGGCCTAGCTTAAGGTAAGGACTAAAGCCTAGGCGCCTATGCCTACTAACTATAACTTGTTCCCTTCCCTTTGATGCTCGAGTAATGTCACCGTTTTTCACCGGAATATAGGCCTAGGCCTAGTTTTGGATAGGTCACTGAATCACCAACACCCCACAAAAAAATTTAAAAAAATAAACCTCTTGCCCTCATCAGTTTTCTTAAAAAAGAGAGTGATAATCTAATAATTTTTTCTATGTGTCCTAAAATTGCTACACTATCGCTTCAGTGTTTTCAGTACAATTGCTGTATTGCGTAGCAGTAACCCTGACGCAATCGGGAAGGCTCCTTGATTTGACCGACCAATCAGCATCACCGAAAGCTGTCGGTGATAGCATGTAGGGATTGTATGGAAACTAAGCTTTACCTGCAACCCAATCTGAAACACATGATACAAGATCCTGCTTAAACTGGTCATCAAACACCTTATGGGAATCAGTGAAAGCATCTAGGTAGGCTGCAAACAATGCTTGAGCAAGGCAGTCAGAGTATACCTGTAATGACGATAATGACAGTATAAATAATAATAACATCATTTAAAAACAAAAATAATAACAATGTACTAACAGAATGATAATAAACCAATAGTTGATAATATTAATAACCATTATATGGATTATACATTTTATAACTCCTACAGCATAGGTGGGAAATGTGCGGCCCGCCAGCGATTTTTTGCGGCTCACAAAAATTAATTAAAAACCCTATGTGTGCGGCCCGCCAAGCAACATTGGCTAAAACAACCCCATGTTTTCTACGGCTCGACACCAATCATAATGTAAAAAGTAATATTAAAACTTAGAATAAAGTGGTGTAAAAGCAGTGCTGGGAGGTTTTTGGAAGCTCACTGGAAACATCAAAGTTTGGGTGCAGCCCTCGGTGTTCAATCGAAAATTCACTTTGACCCTCTGACCGATTTTTATGCCCACCCCTGTCCTACAGTATATGAATTTGTTCACCATATATGGATTTTATAGCATACATATATTTTTGAGTGTATGACATCGTATGGACTGTACAAAATTATATAGTATACAGATTGTACAGCATATAATAATTGTAAATTATATATGAATTGTACATTCAATTTGGAGTGTACATATATATTATTATAAGAGGATATCATACACATACTGTAAAGAATTTGTCTTTGATTTCAGGGTTGACACTGACGAACAGAGCGACAAAACTATCTGCAATTCTATTGAATAACTTCTTTTTAGCACTCTTCTTTTTTGGCTAAAAGAAAAAATTATAATCTTCAATTTAAAATGGTCAGAAAAGTATATAATTATAGAAACAGACATTTTTGAAAATGATTATAAATTATAATTATAATATGATGTCACCTCAAACTTGTCGATGAAGAACCACCAAAAAGTGTCCTGCATAACAGCAGTTGATGCTTCAGACAAAAACAGCTTTTTCCAAAACTTTTCAAAACCAGACTGAAAGAACAATAATATTTATTTTATATTTTTATTTTATATTTCAACAATTTTTACAGAGCACAACTCTTTCAGCTAAGCTATTATTTAGGGACTACAACATGATAATTTGAGAAATAAACTAAAAAAAATAACAAATAAACAAGTCATAAAACAATCCAATTTACTATCTAAAAAACCTAATTTTGTAGGTGAAGGTAACTTGTTCGTTTGTTCATATGAATCACAGAAGCTACACAGCTTGTTTTTTAAATGTAGCTATAATTGATTCTAGTTGCTGTTATTAATTGACTAGAACAGTCGTAGCAGGGTCACTGACGAGCAGGTTAACAGCATGACCCCCTCCCCCATTTATTTTCATAATCCTGGGAGAAGATAGGCAAACATAAGTAAAGTGTCTTGCTTGCCCAAAGACACAAGCAATGCGATGAGCGGCGGCCTTGAACTCCCGATCTCACAATCAGAAGTCCAACACCTTACACGCTAACTAAAAATTCTTGAAAAATTCCTGATTGGGTTTATAAACTTCTGACCCAAAAATATTTAAAAATTTATAAAAAGTTGGTGAACTTGAGGAAAGGCTGCAGCCAGACCAAATCATCTCAATGGCCCAAGATCGCAGCAATTGAAGAAAACTTGAGACTGATGATGATGAAAAAGTGACATTCAACGAGATCAAGAAAAATAAGTAATAAATGCTACTATAGTTTAAATAACCAAGCAGTGCACCTGGGAAGGTGTTACTTACGTTAAAGCTCTGTGCTTTGGTGATCCTGTCCAGTATCTGTGGAGCTTCTAATCCATGTGGAAGATCATTCAGTTCATGAGCACTATATCCAGAATACCTGGTGGCCTGTGAAGTATTACATTGATTAAATATCATATAATATTTCTGTTAAGGTAACAATTAGGGTGTCAGACAAACTGTGGCATAACTAAGAAGCCTGTGGTCCCTGGCTAGGTTGTCTTAGCAGTGGTGGATTCAAGTGGGGGTCCAGTCCAAGATTATAAATAAATGAAGAAAAAAGAAAATTATATTCAAATTTATGTCTGAGAGTGCCATTTCCAACCATGGTGAGCCTGATGTGGTATTATGCACCTATCCGTGACAGGACTTCCCCGGGTCCCCTCTATTTTAAATTCCTGGATCTGCCACTGCCTCTAGCCTTACTACATTACAGACGTTACTTTCAAAGAATACAACAGTATTACTTATTCATTTGTTAATTGACCAGATGAGTGACTTATAATTTTCAATCACAAGTAAATAACTTAGAAAGTAGTTTAAATATTTTTATGCCATTTTGCAGAATTATTAACTCAACACAAATACCTCAACGCTTCTTGCTTTACTACCCAAGATCAGGGTTCGAAGTTCATGATTCTTATCGCGTAACTTTCCACGATGAGCTATCACTGCATCAGATTCGGCAGCTCTTTTCATAACTGGAAAAGAGACACATGAACACATGAAATTGGAATTATATTTTAATTTCAACAGAAACATTAAAGTAAAATTTATCTTCAAACACTTGGTTGGCATCAATTACAGATTAAACAAAATAATCTGAGATTACAAACCCTCACCCTGTTGCACCACATGTACTGAAAAAAATAATAGCCCTGCTGTTGATCTGCTCCATCCACCAAACGAGGCCCAGCATCATAGGCCTTGCATGGCAAGACTGCCTTCAGTCCGTCGGCCAGAATTTGACACATAACTTTTAACTTTAAGGTGTAGTATAGTAAATTTCAATAATATAACAGAGCACTCTATGAATTGTTTTAAAATATATTAATACATTATGCGTCAGAACAAAAAACAAGATGAAATAAAATTAGTAAAAATCGCAACTAAAATTCCAGATATTTCTTAATTAGTATGTGGAAAAACAAATACTCCTCATAATAACACTGCCTCTACCACTTCTCTCAAAGTGTACTGTATGTATAATAAATATGTGTAGTAGTATACTATTAGATGTGTTAATTTCAATCTTTATTTGTTATGTACTGTTAAATGTGTACAAATGTATCTGACCCTTTCTGCACTGATTTTACACTTGTGCAAATGTTTTATAATAGTGAAAAATAGCACAATGTAATTCTGAAATTGACTTTCATTTAAGATAACTTTTTTTGCCTCTCTTAAATAAATTGTAACATTTTGAATAATAGTAATAAGTAATACATTTTTCTATACTTTAAAAGAATAAATTAAAATAATAGTTTCACGACTATGTAGAACAACAGCAACAACAGTATTACATAAAAAAACTCTAGAAAAGTTGTGTAATGGAATTTGAGAACAGTAATGAACCTTAAACTCATCAGTTATAATTAATTACATTACATACCAAACAAATGAATATAATTAGTAAAAATCAATGCTGTAGCCAGGATTTTCAAACAGTGTGGGACAATATCAGGGTGGACCCACTTTACGCGTAAATTTAAATAATGTGGACCCATTTTCTTAAAAGTTGTCCCATTTTATGCAAAAATATGAATAATCTGGACCCATTTTCTTAAAAATTTACCCATTTTACGTAAAATATGAGAAATCTAGGATCATCTTCTTATTAATGTTGACCCATTTTACACAACATATGCGAATCTGGACCCATTTTAAAAATTGTGGACCCATTCTTTGTGGACCCAATAGAAAAATTGTGTGGGACTGTCTCAACTGTCTCAATAGCTGGCTACAGCATTAGTGATAATTTTATTTCACAAAGAAAATAATATAAAAAATACATTAGCAAAAATTATTACAAGTGAACATGTGTTATATGATTAAATATTGTATCCTCATTGTAATCTCACTTACTTGATGTGTATCTCCCTGCACAGATGATGGAAATAAAGCAAGCAATATAGAATATAAGTATTATAGAACAAGCATTCAACGTAATCAGAGTAAATATAGAAATAAGTATAGAAATAAGTAGTCAATTAATTAATTCATGCATACATATGAAAGCATGTAGCACAGTCGTCAGTGGCTTAATGTCCAGGAAAGAGGGAGGAATACCCATAGAAAAGTTCCCTCCAAGGTAGATATGGTAGAATAGTAAAGTAGTCTGTGATCATTGTAGCAAAACTGCAATACTTCCCATTGGAATGGAGAAACTTGCAAACTGTGCATAATTGCCTAAAAACACTTTGAGTATAACAATACAATAACTGTTTCACTCAGTCAGCTAAACTGGTGGTAGCCACCGGGTGTGCGCTGAACCGTGGAGCTAGGTCCCCGGTTCAATTCCCATCGCTGCCTCTCCTTGTGTTTCAACTGGAGGGCTGAAATACAAGTTACAATAGTGCACCACCTTTCGGAGGAGATGTTTAATCATTGGTACCGTGTGCATTATGGCCCGTGTGCATGTTAAAGAACAAAGTAAACTTCGGAAAAGAGTAGGGGATTGTCTAAATTATATATTACACTAGCATAAAGCAAGAAGATACAGAAACATTAAAGGCTAAGAAGCATTTCATGGAATGTAATTACATAAGATGTAAACACTAATCTCCACTCAAGCACACAACTATTAAAGAGATATTGCAAAATAGCATTAACCATCATACACATACATGCACACGCAGTAACTTGAATTGAAAACATAATCAAAATCTTGTGGCGTAAATCTGAAGGATGCAGAAGGTGACAACCTCGACAGAGAACCCATACTTACTGTTATTTGGAGAATGGAACAAATTGTCTTTATGCCGGTTTGAAGTGGCATCCACCGTAATAATCTTGCTTGCGTAAACATTCAACTTTTCCAGAAGTATGTCAGCTTTGTTTTCCAATCTTTCAAGCATATACATTGGGAAAGCTGTTAGTATTAGGGTTGTGGAAAATGCTTGAATATTACACAGACCTACATGAGAATGAGACAGGTAAAGTCAAAAGATGAGAATCCAGTGGCAGCAAGAAAGGGAGGGAGGCTAAATTCATGTAAGACAAGCCAATCCCACTGCTGTTTTGCCTGACTAATGAAAATATTTGTATGCTTATTCAAATAAAAAGTTCCAGGACAACTTATAATGGCTAGAAGGTTTAGCCCCCCACCTCCCTGTGGCATCACCCCTTAGCATCCTGGACCCTGTTAGCCTCTGACAGAAACTATTAAACTTCCCTATCAGGGTTAGGCCAATAGCTGGGACATACATTATACTACCAAAAGAAGAGTTACTATTGAAATTATTTCAAAAGGATACAAGCATGTTTTCGAAGTTCTTCAAGAATATATTCCTTTGATCCTAGCATGTCTTTCTCTTTTTCAAGTGGAGTGTACTTTGCATCTGAAGGTTCTGGCCACACATCCTACAAAAAGAAAATGCATTATTTCATTTCATTCCATCGATACATAAAACTATAAATTATAAATTAGTAATGAAGCATCAAATTTTAAGTTGGACGTTAACTTACACAAGTGTTTGCTTATTGTCAGCATTACACCATGAGCATTTTGATGGATGCTGGCACATTATAAATAATACTAGAAATTGCAAATTGCAAGTGAAGTGCTACGAAGTACTGTACAACTGCATATAAATGTTCTTCGAACAAAATTATTTATGCGAGTCAAGTGAAAATAATGAATAATAAAAATATAACAAATAATATGAGACACGACCCATTGTCTACATCAGAACACTTCTCATTGGGTAACAAAGTCGTAATTCTTCATTTTTGTCAAAAAGTGTCTATAGTGGTGAATTATGGTTTAGGTTTTTTTTAATAAAGTTTCAAAAATGTCTATGTATGTGGAAAATGTAGTTGATTACCAAAGGTTACAATTTTTATTTTGAAGACTGCATGGTCTAGGAAGTGTACATT